CTTCATTCTTATCATCATTTGTGTATATTAACTGAAGAATTTTTAGTGTCCTTTACTGTCTGAGTAGTTGTGTATCACTCATATCAACTAGTAGTGCTTGCTACCCAACCAGATTGAAGTGATCTAAACACCAGAGAGCCATTTCTCTTCTTTGGGGTTAAGCTCCTCATTGATGCACTCGGATTCATACAGGTCGGAGGGCCGAATCGCTTCAAGCCAGCGGATTTCTTGCTAGCTACTTGGGTGGACCGGTTACACCATGAAACAAACTGACGATCTTCAAGCATTGGGTTTTTTTTAGAGATTTAGTTTGATTGGTTGGAGGATTTCATCTTGGGCTAACATGAGCTAGAGAACCATTGGAAAACCAGCTGGGAGTACTGGACAGCTGCTTCGTCAGGCTAGTTTTGGACTCTTCAGCAGTACTCACCCACTGCAACGGTTCGAATCCATGACCTTCTGGTTACAAGGCGAGCGAGCTCGTAGACCATTAAGCTTACTAGAGACTGGGTCTATTCAGGCAGTGACCTGGGGTTCTAGTGGGAACCCGTGACTAGTAGGCTGCAGTAGGTTGAAGGTGAGGCAGTAACTCATCGGAGAAAACTGACAATTCTCAAATTGTTCAACTATTTATCATGTACTCACTTTGAGGCGTGAAATTTTCACCATTGTTTCGGCTGTCAGAGTTGAGTAAAACAGAGTTCACTGCTGATATGGACTCAACCTAAAAGAAGTGAAATGGCTGTCCAGTGTTTATATCAATCTCGATCCATCTGACTGGCAAGCACTGACTACTGGTTGATATGAGTGGTATACAACTACTCATTCCAGTCAATCAGTAGTATGTATAGTTTTATGCAAAATTTGCTTGCTTTCTTGATTTCCATTTAAAGTGGTATCAAGCAGATCACATAATGTGGTGATCTGAATAATTTAGTCTTCAAAGGGACCCCTCGAACTCTGTGTCCATTGCGTATTGTTAGTCTGTTTCAATTAGTGCCTTCTTTTTCCGCAACATAAATACAACTGTGTACAGTTGGTCTGAAAATGAAGTCGTTGAAAAGAAACAGTATTTATTCGCTGAGCAAAACTAGGCTCTACCTTATGAATTAAACGGAATTGCCTGAGTTTTAAATATAATGAAGTCCAAAAACTTTGTATCGTCAGTATTGATTCTGAGAAGGGAGACATTCATAGACCATATTAATATATGTGTAAAACTACGGCACTGTGGTATTAAGTAATTCCATATTAGTTTGTTTATTAGATGTATCACACACAGTGAGTGAAACAATATTATTTACTGGATGACAAAGTTTCGAACAAAATGTATTGTTCATCATCATATCAATTGTAATCACACGACTTTGAAACTTGAGTTTTATAGTTTTCTTTGTCTTCTCCTATTCATCGTCCTAGGGGTAGTAGAATTTTCCAGATATCTGAGTGGACAGATGTTGAATCATTCCTATTACATGTATTTGCAGTTGATTCGATAAACAAAGCTTCTGTTATCAATCTCTCCCTCCATCCTGCTGTGGCATTAAATTTTAAAACTGTCATCCTATCCCATCATCATCCTATTGTATGGTTGTGTGTAATTGCATGTAGTGAGTTCTGTGTCTGAACTATTCTCTAGATTTCTTATCTTATTTGGGTCAACTAATCTTGATTTTGCTGCTTGGTTTTTATGCTTGGCTAGTCTGACTACCCCTGTTCTACTAGTTTGACCTACGTATTTGACCAGACAATCATTGCAGGGTATTGGATAAACTAAATTGTTTTGTTTTGACGGATCCACAGGATTGATCCTTTAATCGGCAAAGCTTGCTTCTAATTGAGTTTGTGGGTGGTTTGAATGTCAGCCACTTTTATTCCTGCCTTGTTAAGAATTCTGCGTAAGGTGGTTTCCGAGGTTCCTTCCTTGTATGGGATTACTGTTGATGATTTAGATCCCTTATTGTTGGTGTCGTCATTAATATTATTATTATTTTTATCACTATTATTATCATCATCATTATTGTTATCATTGTTATCATTATCGCTACAGTCACTATTTATTTTATTTTTACATTTCCTTACATATTTCCTGACTAATTTATCCGGGTAATTATTAAGTTTTAAGGCTTCCTTTATGTGTATCACTTCCTGTCTTAGACTTTCCGTGGTACTACTTAGTTTTTGTGCTCTGTTACTTAAACATTTCACCAATCCTATTTATACTGACATGGGATGGGATGATCGGAAGTCCAAATATCTGTTCGAATGTGTGGGTTTCCTGTGAACACACACTAGTGTGTTTAACTCCCCATCTTTTTTCCTTTTTACGTTGCCATCTAACATTGGAAGCTCCCCTTCATGACTTTCCAGTTCATAAGTGAATTGAATTGCCTCTACCTTTGAGTTACTGTGTCCGAAAAATCTATTCATTATAGCCTGTGTTCTAAGTACAGTGAATGTGTCATCTCTACATAAACCCCACAATACTTTTGGGGTGGGAGTGGACGTCTCAATCGCTATGTTTTCCCACCTATTCATGTATATATCCACTACAACCGAGGATATTAGTGCCCCCATGGCAACTCCCTCAGTTTGTTTGTGTATTTTACCCTGGAATTCAAATACTGAGGAAGTCAGCCATAGATGCACTTCCAGAAATATGTCCTCAAGTGGCACTTTCGTCCTAAGTTCAAGTTCTTGGTCAGAAATGAGTTCGTTTCTGACTCCCTCTATAGCCATCTTTATTGGTATACGTGTATATAAACTGACAATGTCAAAACTAACCATTTTTTCTTCATTATCTAATTTTAAATTATCTAATCTGTTTTAGTTCATAAGAATTAGTTAGTCTAGATTTCGAATGGATTTTTAGGGGATTTAATACCATGGCTAAATATTTAGATAATTCATAAGTAGGTGAATTTCTAAAATCAACTATAGGTCTAATAGGGTATCCTAACTTATGAACTTTAATAACAATATACATCCTACTGGGGTTATTAGTTTTGGGCATTAAATTAAACCACTTAGACTCACCTAGAAACGGCTTCATTCGGTGTATAAGGTCTGCTATGGATTTTTTAACTTTATTCATAACTGTGTCTATTGATTTATTAATTTCCTCATATGGTCCTGTTTGCATGTGAGTATTTACCTTGTCCAAATAGTCTGATTTGTCTAATACTACTGTTGCATTTCCTTTGTCTGAGACATCCATAGGCATTAAATTTCATATATAAGTAGAGCGTGTGGGCAATTCAAGTAATATACATTTTCTATTGATGCAAATACTTGATGTCATATACCTTCAGTGATTAATGTTTTTAGGATACAATTGGTGGATGGTGACTAGCAGTGGAATCCAGGATGCGCATTTCGTCCTATTTGGGACTCGTCAGCTGGATGTACCTGCATTTCTCAGTGAGTGATGACGTTCCCACCGAGGCTCGAACCCAGTACCCATAGTTTCAAACGCCAAAGCGCTATCCACTAGACCACTTGGGCTGCGAGAGCCACCTCTTGTGCAACGGGTCATATTAATTATTGAATTGAATCAATCGACGGGAAAATCGAAAAATTCAATTCAATGATTAATGTTTTTCTCTCAAATCTGGAAAGTAAACTGTTATGCAGGGAAACTGAAATCAATAAATTCCCGTCATTTTGATTGGTTATTGACTGGTGTTATATGTCTAGTCCTTTATTTACTGCAGCTGTCGAGCAGCAGTACTCCTCATGCTTTTTCACATGTATAACTGAAGCTGTTCAAAAGTTTCTTCTCCAGGTGAAGTGAATATTAGAAAATAAAACATATGACCATTATATACATTGTACAGTCTTATATACTAAATGATGTATAACACACCGAAGAATCTTAGCGACCATACATTTACAATATAACTTCTTCTTATATAAAGAATACAGTTCAGTTGAAATCACTCGATTTAGCGTAATGGAAAATGAAATTGTCACCCAGTGTTTAGTTAATTTCTTTCTGTCCATATTAGATGACGTTATTTTTTAAATATCACACGTTGATGCGGTAATTACAAAGTATAAATATTGTGATTAGATCATTCATGGTGAGGAACTATCCAAATAGTCTGTCCATTACAATATACATAAAACCTTGGATACACAGAAATAAATTAATATGGTTAGATTATGTGAATGAGTAGTGTAGTTGACGATGATTCACAGAGTGGTTAAAGGTATCTTAATTCCCCCAAAACAGACTAAAAGCGTAGTAGAGCCTATTTTCCAATTAGTGCGCATATACTCTGGACGCTACTCTGATCTAAGCCGCTATGGTTTCTGTAGTTTAGATTCTGTTTTATTTTTCGACAGCCGACAATAACACACAAGATGGATTAGTGGGTGATAGATTTACCTAAAACAATATGGCATATCAGTTCGATTGGACCCTAGTAACTAGTGTGACGTGTCTAGTCCTTTCTTTGCTGCAGACTGAATTCTATCAGTCAAGTGTGCAATGCGGCCACCATCAAGCTAGGTGGCTCGACATCACAATGCGCTTATAATTGCTGAACGCAATTGACCACAGGAAGACCTAGCTGACATAGGTGTCGTGCTTGATGGCACTCACTGGTCAGCAAGAAGTATCTTAAGTCTTGAAGGAACTCATGATGCTGGTCAGTGTCCAATCAAAGCATCTAATACAGTCCTACAGGAGGTCAATCGCAGTCCCGAATAACTCATTGGTGGTAACGTCCCTGACTGCAGCACTGAGTGATACGTGTCCGGATTTCAAGGGGGGACATGAGTTCCTTGAAGGTTGAGGATGCGCTTTGCTGACTGCTGAGTGCCAACAAGCACGAAACCTATTACCAAGGCTTCTTGTGGCTGATTGCCTCAAAACATCTAATTAAAGTACTTTCATAAAGATATCTTGGATCTTATTGAAAATTCAGTAATCATTGTGATTAAAAGTACTCTTTCAATTCAATATTTTTCTTGTTACTATACTTTTAAAATTTCAGAGGAACTCTTCAAAACCTTCATCGACGCATTGTATTCCAGTGAATAAAAGCACCAGCAATGATACAAAACTTTGTCGGGCTGTTGAAGTGGTAACAACTGTCAGACCTTGTCAGAAAGTTATCACCACAAATAAACCGACTACATCCAATGCAAAACGTCAATGTAAAAAAGGAAGCTCAACACAGAAAGATTTTCCTATCATCTGTAAGGTTGTTGAAGATCCTGTACCAATTAGAAAAATTGTTTGGAGGTGACAGGGTTTAACAGATTGTAAAACTATTTTGCTAATTCAACTTATTTTTATATACACATAATTAAGAGTATTTTTGGATAAAGAAAAGTTTTGTCTTGTTCTCCATTATATATTTGTCAAGCTGTGATTTCTGGTGTTCTCCTTATTGAATAATAGTCATTTGCTGAGTCTGATTGAGAAATAACTGTGGTTCAGTTTTCAATATATAACGCTGCGCCAAAGTATAATAACTCACCACACGTTATTATATTATTATTGTTTCCTTTAGTTCCTAGAGAAACATAGGGCTTCAGCCGCACGTCTCCATTGCGGTCGGTTCTCCACTAACGTTTTCCTCTGGCTTCACGTCTGCCCTCGTGCTCTCGTCTCTTCTCTACATGACCTTCATGTCAACCCACCCTTACACTGATGACCAACTCGTGCTTCCCATTCGGGTCCCACTCGAACGATGGCCTGGCGTGTGATGTCGCTCACTTGATGGTTTGTTTTCTCAGAGTATGGGCAATCCACCTCCATTTCTTCCTCCACATTTGTTGCACAATTGGTTTATTCTGGGCTAGTTCGCTCCCACAGATCCCTCCCTGTTGCTGATCTTTTCTGACCGGCCATCTAATCTTTAGTAGTATTGATTGAAGACGGCTGTTGATGAAGGTGTGTAGTTTGTTCGAAGTACCCTTCGTGACCACGGCGCGGCACCAAGTCTTCGATCCGTATAGTAATTAGCGCTGACTTCACATTGTAGTTGAAAATCCGCGTCTTATATTTCATGGTGGTTAGGACTCTCCCCGACCTTGCACATGGTCCGAGGTTCGATCCTCTGCCGACGCACACCTGATATCTATGGTCAGTCTGCAAAATTTGGTCTACTGATATCACATGCTGAAAATTCCATACTAGTTCCAAAAATGCAGTGTGGAATCAAGCTGTAATCAAAAATAAATGCTAAGCGCCTGTTGATCTCCACACAGACTTGAGAGTAATAAAAGCTTGCCTTGCTTTCCCGATCCTTGCTTTGATATCCTCGTCAGTTCCGCCTGTAGTTGAAACTATGCTTCTCAGGTGGGTAGGTAGGGGAGGTTGCTTACCACACGTTAAGCAGAAATAAAGTAGAAAATGATAGGGAAATATAAAGAGCAGATAAGCCTCAAAGAACTGAAGACTAATTCCAGTGCGCCTACTGGGTGTCCTGTGTCTATCACGTGTTTTGTGATTGAAGAACTGAAACTGTTAAGTCTTTAAAAAGTGGAAATATATGGAAGAAAGAATCAAAAGCAATAATGAGAATTTAGTGGGTCTATGAGTCTATAAAGAGAGAATATAACTGCACCATTGAGAAGAATTTTGAGCTATGTTAGCAAGAGTCTCTACCAATTTTTCCTTGAATTTCAACGACGCCCTCAAACCAACAGTCAAAGACTTCATGGACAGATACCGTGTTTTGAATAAACCATCCCACCACTCTTATGCGACGTAATTAAGTGTCGTTTAAAACTGTCTGGAGAGAAAGGTGATGGATTTTCATGCGTAGTACGTCTTGCCAAATCAATCGATGTGGCTTCACAACTTCGTCGACTGATCTGCCCTCCATACACAACACTCGACGCTTAATCTCAATATTACTCAACAATCTACATCACAGGAGATAGCAAGTAAGTACATATAGTCAAATCATGGTGAACTGTGAATTGTTGATATTATATGGTTGGGGGCAATCGGCCAAAGTTTCGTGCTAGTTGACACTCACCAGTAGTCAGCAAGGCGCATCTTCAACCTTGGAGGGACTCATGCCCCTTCCGAAGTTCGAACCTGCGTCACCCAGTGCTGCATTCAGAGACGTTACCACTGAACTATACGGACTCGCGATTGACCTTCTCCTGTAGGACTGTATTGGACATTTTGATTAGACACTAGTCAGTAACTAGTGTAATGTGTCTGGTCTAGCCGCGAGTCCGAATAGATCAGTGGTGTAACGTCTCTAATTGCAGCACTGGGTGACACGGGTTCGAGTCTCAAAAGGTACATAATTTCTTCGTTGTTTTTTCAATCTCGAAAGTTTGGTACAGGAGTGAGTACAGTAATAGATTTGGTAGTTGATGGAGGATTTCATCATGACCTATAACATCAGTTACAGAATCACTAGGAAACCTGGGAGTACTGGACAACCATTCCGTCAACCTAGTTTGGAATTCTTCAGCAGTACGCACCCACCGGGGTTCGCACTAAGGACCTTCTGGTTACAATGCGAGCTCTTAGACCTTTGAGCCAGTGGGACCCCCAATCCAGTGACCAGCCCATGAATTCCAACTTCTGTCAATTCACGACATAGTGTGATCATTTCGCAATGTCTTCCTCAGTGAGTTACTGCCTCATCTTCAACCTGCTGCACCCTACTGGTCACGGCTTCCCACTAGAACCCCAGGTTAACTGCCTAAATAGGGCCAGTCACTAGTGAGCATCAGATTAATTTTCAAGTATTGGTTTTGTAGGGATTTTGTTTGATTGCATGGAGGATCTCATGTCATCATGAGCTGACATCAGTTAGAGGACCAATGGAAAACCGACATAGGAGTACTGAACAGCTGTTTCGTCCTAGTTTGGGACTCTTCATCAGAGCTATTTATTTTAATTTGTTTTATCATACACATTTCGTTAGTAAGCAGTCATCGATTCTCCTACTGGAAACCATATTATCTCAATTGACGTCTTTTGGGGAATCATTGATATAAGAATAAAACTTGTGCACTGTGGTAGAGTATAATTCCATTATGGGTCTTTTGGGGAAGACTGTGCAACAGGATAAGAGAGATGAACCTTTATAAAACACAAAATAATTGAGCGAAGAATATTCTTTTCGATAAATTCCTCTTCCGGCTCTACAATTATATATATATATATATATATATATATATATATATATATATATATATATATATATACAAAAATTCAAGATTGGTAGTTAATAACAATATTAGTGTTTTTTTTAATAATATCGATTTGTAAAGTATGATGTCTAGATGAACTTTTCACAAAAACAGCTCATCTTCAGTCAACTCGGCGAATACACAGGTACAGAAACTGGTCCAACTTAAAAAGTGATAATCTTCATTATAACTGGGACGTATTTTTAAGTCATGTCAGAGAGAGATACCCTGTTTAGTAAAATTTTCATCCATTTTCTTGTCAATAAACGTCATTTTTTGTGTGTAAGAGTCACTTATTTTTTTGACTGGAGGGCTCAAGGTCACTCGTGCGTTCAGACCCCCTGGGACGCTATTGTTTAACTTTGTCCAATTCACATCACTTACACGCTAAGAATACTATACATATGACCAAAATCGACTCCTTGTGGTCGGAACGCAGGAAGCCAATCTCTGCATCTGACTGTGTGCCTGTCCGAAACGTCCTTGAGAAACGCAGTCACAAAATACTCTAGAGAGACAGACAAAAGGTGATTAAATGTCAACGGATCTGTGGTTCTCTTCATCAGTAATAATAACATCGAAACCTCAAAATTGCCTCAACAGTCCCATTGGGCAACTATACAGATAATAGGATGTTTTAAATGCAAAACAAGTACATAAAAATCAAGTAGAATATTCCGAACAAAGTGAGTTGCGACTTGATGATATCAGATGGTTGGAGGCAGTCGGCACGAAGCCCTACATGACATAGGTTTCTTGCTAGCTGGCACTGGTCATCAAGGCGTATCTGCAACCTTGAAGGAAGTTATGTCCCTTCTGAGATTCGAACCCGTGTCACCCAGTCAGAGACGTTGTCACTGAGCTATTCCGGCTGGCTAGCAACTGACCTCCTGTAGGACTGTAGTGGGTATTTTGATTGGACACTAGTAACTAGTGTGACGTGTCTAGTCCTTTGTTTGGTGCAGACTGAATTCTATCATCAGTCAGTTTTGTATTGTGGTCACCATTCTAGGTAGCTCACCATCATTACGGTGCACATTGATTTGATGATATTAGTTTGTTAGGCAAAGTTAAACTTTCGACACCACTAACTACCAATCAGCAAACGACCTTGAATGGACCAGTCACACTAAAGAGGCACATATGATGAACGGAAACTTATATATATAGAAAAAAAAGCATAAAAAGGAGGATAAAACGGTTACTAGGGTTATCTTTCTGGAACATGTGAGAGAAACATCTACCAGTTTAGCATGGGAAGCTACACCACATCCTGTACATATATTCATCCAAATGACTATAAATGAGATCCATTTATAGCCCTTATCCTGCTTTTCAAGCGGCCCCAAAACCCTTCAATGGAATTCGTATGAGTCCTCGTGACGGGATCCACGAAATCACTTGAATGGTTCACTCTGATGAATATACCCCAGAGATGACAGAGAATTATAACCTTTCCACTCGTCCGTGTGTATAATTGACCCCCGCTTAACAAGTCTCGTTATAATAGGTATTAAAGTGGTTGCTTTTCTGTTAGCTATCCGTTCGACAAATCCCTTTCGGAGGGAGATGTCGTATAAACCTAATACCCAAATGTTATTTACTCGCTGGCGACCACGGTTGTATTTCTTTTTCACCAGCACAGTTTCATCGACATGCATGACAACGTCTTCCCCACCCAGCAAAGAAGTGATTTTCTCTATTTTCCAGGAAACAATGTCTCTGCAATGCTGGTACCACTGAACTGTTGAGACGAGGCTATACTCCGTCTCGGCAGCTGCTGCTCTCACCGGCTGTTGCAGATATACAAAATCTGGGTTAGGTAGAGATGCGAACTAGCGAAAAAAGATCCTACGAAATATTAAAATTATCAGCTTAACCTCTCTAATGCTAGCATGCTTCAAACATATAGCACAACGATGAATAAATCCACCAGTTGATCTGCTATAACTTTTCAAAGTCATGATACCACCACACGAACACGTTCGCTCCTTCCGGAGCAACCCTAAATCCAGGCAATACTGGAAAGCACTGTCCTCCTCGAATTGCGACCGTAACCTTGTAAGGGCACGCATTTGAAATGAATCAAGCGCTATACAACATTGAACTACGTTCGTGAATCTCATTGGATAATTCGCTGATTGGTAGTTAGTGGTGTCGAAAGTT